GGTGTTAATTAGGTGTCAACGATAGCCATGTGATGTGAGTATCAGTCACATGGAGGCTGTCCGCGTCAACCGCGTCCGTTATATAAAAAATAATCCCAAAGGAATTTCTAATAAAGTTTAAATATATATCAAGTGCAGCATCGTGGTGAAAGCTGCACTTGTGAAAGTAAAACTGTTGGGCCTAATCTTGACTCAGACATTAATTCTGAGTTTCATATTGCTGGACAGGACACAGTGGGGAAAAAATCATTGTACTTTGAAATTAGCTGAGGAAAAAGGCATCACATTTTGCTTACATCAATTTTATGAGTCTAGCTGTAACTGTGTACGCACCAAACAAAATATACCTTTGGTCAGAAAAATTACTTTCTTACCTCAAAATCAGTTTTTCTCAATAAAATGCAAAAACACCTACTTCCAACCCTGATAACCACCATGTGAGTTTAGGAAGGGAGAGGCTTAATATTGAAATAATCATGACTTCTATCTGCTCTCTAACTGGTTGAACCGGTGATGTACAGTAAACTTTATTCTGTAGCCTCTTAATATTGAAACTTTTACATAGACTCAGAGGTCTATAAAATACTGTACTTGGGGAAAAAACTAAGTAAAAGTAAAATTACATGAACAGAAAATGACTTTGGTAAAAATAAATTCCACTGACGAGAAAACTAGTACAGTAAAAGTCATAAAACTGTTCACAAAAATTGGGAAAGTAAAAGTACTTTTACACACACTAAATAAATTATTGAATTTACTGAACCAAACTGGCTCCACTATATATATATATATATATATATATATATATATATAAAGCTAGGCTTAGTGGAGCCAGTTGTCATGACTTTGTTGAGTAAATTCAATCTCACTTTTTAGAGTGCAGAAACATCTTTCATGATGAGTTCGAACAGAGCCGGCTCTTGGCATAGGCGAACTAGGCGGTCGCCTAGAGCGCCATCTGCTGGAGGGGGCGCCGAACTGCACAAGATAATAAGTTATTATTTGTAATCACTGGTTGTAACTCGGCTCAGTGCCCCTTTCAATTATCTTTGTCTTAAAAAACAATAATGAGGTATTACAGGAAAAATAAACTACTCCAACTTTTAATCCTGCTGACATCCATTCTGACACAGTGAGGACTGAGTTTCTCAGCAGAGGACCTTATCAGGTAAAATCAGACTTATATTTTCCAAGAAAAAGAGGACCTTCTAAATCTTTGCAGATCCAGGAAGTGGTTACAAGAAGAAACTAATAGATTGCCTGAAAAGTTTAGAGCAGGACAAGGCTATTAATCGGATTCTGTATCATAGACTTTACCCAGGTGAGGCCACTCCTAGTCTGTATGGTTTACCCAAAATTCACAAACAGGATGTACCGGTAAGACCCATTGTTAGCATGATCAACTCTGTCACAATGTTTCTAAATATCTGACGTCTATACTTGGTCCTTTAGTTGGCAGCTCAGAACATCACATACAGAACACTRTGGACTTTGTGGACAAGGTGAGGKATGTCATCATGGAGACGGATGAAACTATGGTCTCTTTTGATGTTACATCGCTCTTCACGTGCGTTCCTATTGAGAAGGCAGTGGATGTGGTCTGTGCAAGATTAAAATCAGACACCACTCTCAGCAGCAGAGCCACACTTTCCACAGAACAAGTGTGCCAACTCCTCAAACTGTGCCTGGAGTCAACCTACTTCACGTACGGGGGGCAATATTATAGGAAGAAACATGTGTGTGCCATGGGATCCCCAGTTTCTCCTATTGTTGCAAACCTGTACATGGAGGAAGTGGAAAAGAGAGCCTTGATGTCCATTTCAGGGGTGCCACCGAGCCGTTGGTTCAGATATCAGAGATCTTCTATAAGTCTGTTGTTGAGAGCGTCATCTCTTCTGCCATCATCTGTTGGGGCAGCAGCATCAGAG